TGAAATTAAGAAACCTCCAAATGTCATTACTGGCTGTGCCTATGAACAGGACATGAGTGGCTGCTTAGGATTAGAGACACTGTTGTCAGTGAAGCAGAAACCAGAGGCTTCATATCTGCCATAGCTGACGAGTCCTTACAGTTATATAAACAGTCACTTACTTCTCTAAGAAATGCAGACGGCGACCCCATATCTGAAGCATTGTCTGTAGCACATAAGTAAGTGATTCCATCAATAAGGAGAGTGTGGTAGACATAGCTTTGAAAAAAATGCATTTAGTGCTTAAAATATTGAAGAAATTAAGTACCCACACTGAGAATTTGATTTGATTTTTGAGCTGTCATTACTGGTATAAAAACTATATAAATAACTTTACAATCAGAATAATTAGGAGAATTTTTATCTACTTGACAAATTAAATTGTTAAATGAAAATATACAATGTATTTATTTAAACTTGCATCAATAAAATACACACATACATATATATGTTATATATATATAAATTTTGAACCATAAACACATTTATTTATTTTTAAATACATTTATTTGCTTGTTTGCATGTTTTTGTTCTTTTTCTTTCTTGAGATAGAATCTCCTTATGTATTCCAGGCTGGCCTTAAACTTACAGGGATTCCTGCCTCAGCCTTCTAAGTGCTAGGATTATAGGCATGTGCCACCATGCTCAGCATATTTGTTTGAAATAGTTTGGACAAAAATCAAATTCTAAGACTGAATCAAGACTTTGACTAAACAGAAAATGCTTAGTGACTTTTGCTATCCTTACATTTTTAGGTAGACTTTTGATACTTCTTGACTTTGTATTTTGTCAAGTGCTTAAGCTGCTGAGCTATCCCCCTAGCCCATGGCTTTGTATTTTGAGAATTTAGAAGTAGTAAATTGTTAATATTAAATTTTCTGGAGAACATGATGAGCTGGGGAGAGAGGATGTAAACTCCTTCTAGTAAGCTAAAGTGTGCCTTCCCCTTACCACTCCAACTGCTAGATTTTTTTCTGCTTCTCAGAAGGGCCCCCATCCTTCGCTGCTCGGTGTCTACACATGAATCTCATCTTCCTGAATGTTTAACAGGCAACAGCCTTGGTCAAATGTTAACCTGGATATGTATAAGAATGAGGAATCTCAGGAATAGACAGAGAAGGTAATCCTAGAGGTAGAGAATTAAAGTATGTGCCATTTCAAATAAATCTTCATATTGTATCATGAATACAATATGCTAAACATATTTTAATGATGCTATTGACTGATATAAATAATCTTCATTTGGGAAATATTTTTAATTTATAAATTTGGAAGGCTGCTGGACAAAGAGTTTCTACCATCTACCTGAAAGTTACATCTGATTTAAGATAAGTTGATGCAGGGTCCTGAGTTCAATCCCTAGTACTGCAAAAACAAAACAAACAAACCCCCCCCAAAAAAAATCCTCCAATAAGATGACAGTCAAAGTGAAAAGGAGAAATATTAATTTTTTCATTTTTAAAGAATACAAAATAATGATAACCATTAGAAATGATATAAGACTTCACTAAACAAAGTAATAGGAGTTCAACAATGGTTGCTGTATTACATGATGCTATCTTCAAATTAGTTGTTCATATTATCAGATATAAACGTGTAACATTCTTTTAAACAAAAAAAAGTAACAAAGAAGATATAAGAGATTCAAAAGAGGAAAAAATCAGAGTAAAACAATTTTTTAAGCATTAACTGCTCCTTTCAAAAGACTAGCAGAAATTGACAATACAATTATCCAAACAAAGCAGGGAATA